TTAGAACAGCTGGGCCTGGGGCAAGGATCCATTCCCAGAATGCTCTGGTGTAGGGTTCTAGTTGAGAGGAGGGCAGTGGAATGGGCCCAACCAGATGCCTTTGGTCTCCTGTTCCCCCTCTGGGTTCCCAGGTAATATCTGGCTTCACCTGTCTCCTTCCCCTCACTCTCCACTGTAGGTTGGACCCTTTCCTTCTTTTCTTCTCTATCTTTGCCTCCTCTGTGCTAGTTTATGTTCTCATCCCTCCATACCCAGAGACCCCAGTGCTGGCTTTGTCTTATCCACACTGCCCCCCCAGGGAGTCTTACTTTGTTACTCAGGCTGATCTCAAACTCCTGGCCTCAAGCAAACACTCCCCCCCAAATGCTCGGGTTATAGGCATGAGCCCATAGGTTTTTTGTTTTTTTTTTTTAAGTTAATTACATACTTTTATTTGTTGTTGTTGTTGTTTTGGCCAAGGCTGGGTTTGAACCTACCACCTCTGGCATATGGGTCCGGACCCTACTCCTTGAGCCACAGGGACTGCCCCTGAGCCCATAGGTTTTAACCTGAACTCTTGGTGATGTTCCCAGATGATGTCCTGGCAAAGCAGCTGATGTACCCAAGGTCCCCAGGAACACTCCCAACTGCTTCTACTTTCCAAAGTCTGTGCATTGCCTCTGCTTGGAAATTGTTCCCTCCTTTGGTATTTTTTACTGTTGAGAGCTTCTCTATCCACCTTTGGAGGTACCTCTCCAAGGCCCTGTTCTTTGGGGAGCCTGTCATCCTTGCTGCGCTGAGTCTGGGGCTTCTGAGCTCAGTGTCCCTTGCTTCTGTGTGCTTGGTTGAGTTCTGATAATCTGTCCCCACTCAGCTCTCTGAGGGTGAGGGGCATAGGATAGGATGTCAGTAGCACTCAGAGGCTCCTGAAAGAGGCTTCCCCTCTCTGAGCCTCTTAACTCTTCTGTAAAATGGAATCCTGTCTCAACAATACAGAGCTGATAAACTTATCAAGTCCTTCCTATGTTTTGGAAAGTGTGCTCAGAAATTTACATACACTGCCGTATTTAATTTTCACAGCCTTATGAGATAGACATCTGTCATTCCCATTTGATGGATGAGGAAATCAAGGCACAGACAGACAAGTCAAGTAACTTATCTATGTAGTAGTTGACTAGAATTTGAATCCAGGCCTGCTTATTCTCATAGATCTAAGCCCTGAGTAGAGGGCTCAGTCATGTAATTAGAATTTCCCATTTGCTTCACTGTAACCATAAAGTGGGGAAATCTTTAGGAAACCTGAGGTCTAGTGGGGAATGGAGAAACGTGTTAGAGCGATGATTTACCGCTTCTGGGTTCTGAAATTCGGGTTGGGCAACTTGACACTTCTCCCTCCCATTCTCAGCTCTGTCTGGCTTCCACCAGCAAGAGGTAGAAGAGGAAGTGTTAGCAGAGAGAGCTGGGCTTGGAGTCAGGAGACCTGGGTCTAGCCCCAGATGTGCCTTATTAATACCACGGTCACAGTCCTGTTCTCTGGGCCTCAGTTACCAGAGGCATAAAATAAGCAGGTTGGGGTGCACCTGTGGCTCAGTGAGTAGGGCGCCTGTCCCATAAACCGAAGGTGGTGGGTTCAAACCCAGCCATGGCCAAAATGCAACAACAACAAAAAATAAATAAAATAAAATAAATTCTAAAAAAAAAAAATAATAATAAGTAGGTTGGCTGGGATCATCTTTAAGACCATTTCCAGCTCAGTCAGTCCATGATGAACTGCCTTTATCTTGTGGCAATTTGTTTCACCACTTGGAGCCTCAGTTTCCTCACCATTAAATGAGGGTGATCACCCCAGTACTGCTGCCAAAGGAAGTATGGCTATGTACAAGAAGTTTCTCAAGTGGGATTCCTCTGGCAGTGACTCACTGCTCTCAACTGCGCTGGGGCACAGCAAACATCAGGGGGTTTTAAATAGCCAACAGCTCCCACAGGGCTCTCCACTGGCAGGAAGTGGGAGAGCGGCAATTCCCAGTAGCTGCTCTCTGCTCTCAACCAAAAACCGAGGTCCAACCATGCCAGTCCAGAGCTTCTGGAAGGGGTCTGCCCTGAAGGAAAATGCATGGCTCCAGGGGGAACAGAGAGGAGCCAGGGGCTTAGCAGTGGCAACAAAGAGAAAACACAGCTGCTTATAAAAGCACTGGTCCTGGGTCCTGCTTCTCTGTGGAAGTGACAGTTGTCTCATCTGCAACTCAGAGAGGAAGGTGGGAATTTCTGAGGGCCCCTTCCGTACACACTCAGAACATCAGAGCCATCCTTTTCTCCCACATTGAGATAGCAGTGGTTTGGCCTTCTGCTTTCTCTTTCCTTTAAGTTTTAATATAGCCCTCACCGCCTACTCCTCCTTGAACTTTGCCCAAGAAGCAATCTCTAGTGTCACTTTAGAGAGAGCTGAGGAGGGACACTCAGTGGGAGCTCCTTAAGGCCTAGAACCACAATGATTCATATCTTCAGCACATAGGAGCCATTCATTAAATATAAGCTGAATGAATGAATAAATCAGTGAATGAATGGGGTGCTTGGATTAATAATGGCTACTCTTTCCTTTGCTACAACTCCAAGAAAAAAAATGTGGTCTGTCCTACAGACACCTGGGTCTTAACAAGATTGTTGCAATATAGTCTCCCAACTGGCCACCCACCATTCTTTCCAAATTTATTTTTCTTCTGTGGATAGCTAGATGCATACCTTCCCTACTCAAAACCTCCAAAGGCTCCCCCTAGGTTATAAGAGAAAATTCTGCCATTCAAGGTCCTCCATAATTGGACACAAACCCCCTACATCTAATTTCATCTACCTGATCTAACACCTTAGAGTAGTGATTTTCAACCAGTGTGCCACAAAAAAAAAATTTAAAGATCATTATTTTTGAAAGTTCAAAGTACAGGAAGTATGTTCCTTTTTTAAACTTTTTTTTGATCAACATAATTTAAGGGCATGATGGATGTTTTAACTACAGGTTCAATTGTGCCGTGAGATAGAAAAGGTGGAAAAAGGTTGCCTTAGAGTCTCTCTCCTGCTGCTCACCAATCCCAGGACCCAACCACCTTAACTGAAAATTTAGTGTAAGATACATATAGAGGCATACATGGCAAATGCTCAATTTCTACTATTCTCATTCGTGGTTTCTGGGCACTTCTTCTGTGTCCCCTCAGCACCCTTACTTCTCGTCCTTAGATTCCATTGCTTTTTCCTATCCTACCCTGTCCCACTTACCTCTGTACCTATTTTTAAGGCATTTTCCCTTTTGGCTTCAGATGCCTCTGTGACCTGCAGCTGACTGACTTCTTAAAATTAAAACCAGAAAACACTATGGACTCCACCTCTCAGTATCTACAATGGAGCTGGGTTCAGAGCCAGACAGACACCATGCGGAGCCCTTCCATGCATCACCTCATTTTACTTCTATAGCCCACAGGATATTCAAATTAGGGCCCCATTTTACAGGTAAGGAAACTGAGGCTCATGTGCTCATAGTTACAAAGGTCTTACTCCACAGCTCTTAACCAGTTTAAATTGGCTCAGTGCCTGTGGCTCAAGTGGCTAAGGCGCCAGCCACATAAACCTGAGCTGGTGGGTTCGAATCCAGCCTGGGCCTGCCAAACAACAATGATGGGTGCAACAAAAAAAAAAAAAAATAGCCAGGCATTATGGCGGGCGTCTGTAGTCCCAGCTACTTGGGAGGCAGAGGCAGGAGCATCGCTTGAGCCCAAGAGTTGGAGGTTGCTGTGAGCTGTGATGTCATAGCACTCTACCCAGGGCAACAGCTTGAGGTTCTGTCTCAAAAAAAAAGTTTAAATTGGGCAAATGCTCCATAAAGCTCTCAGATGATTCTCTCAGCATCTGGGCTCACAGCCTGGTAGAGAGACACAAGTGGATAAAACACAAGGTACATATTTAGTTTCAGGTTCATTATGGCAGAGATTAGAGACAGCTCTTCAAAATGGTCCAACCCCTTACTATACTAATGAGGAAACAGGCCCAGCGAGGGCAATGGCTGGTCCAAGATCACACTGCAAGGGAGGGACAAGACCACACCCAGCAAGTCTCTGAACTGCCTGCACTGTCTGCACAGCAACTGCCATAAACTGTGCTGGCCAGCCAGGGTAGGGGGCAGAGCCCTTCAGCTAGCCAGCAAGCACACCGATGGTCACTGGACAATCTTAGACCCAAGTCATGGAACATAGGCTGGGGGAGGGGAAGACAGAGAAATTGCAGTTGAGCCTACTTGCTTATCAGTGTCCTTCATGAAGTGGAAACTTTCCATGGGCCTCCCCAGATTGTAATCACATCTGGTGCCCTTGAAGAGTTCAAAAGAGGAAGTTTGGGTTTGGTTATAATGGATGAAGAACACACAGAGAAATGCTCAGGCAGAGGAGCTGAGAAAGCACCTAAGATCTAGCAAGGCTGGGCCAGCTTTCCCAGGCTTACTGCAGGCTCAGATTCTCCTGCGGGCTTCCCAGGAAACACCCTGGAAGAGTTTAAAGACGTAATTCATTCGTGGGCAGATTTCACAATTTCAAGCTCTAATAAGGAAAATCCAGGCTGGAGATTCTAAACAGAAGTCAGAGGTCCTCATTGGAAACGTGTTTATGTGTTCGTGTGCCTCTCTCTTTTCATTCCTTTTTAAAAGAGAGAAATGTCAAGGGAATGAGGCAGACCTTAGGATGTCAATAGCAGAAGGGAAGCCTAGATGTCGTCATCCAACTCTCCCATTTTGTAGGTAAGAATGGAGAGGGAGGGAATGGGACTGGCCAGAGGTAGGAAAGGAAGTGCATGGCAGATGCACATTTGAACCCAGGCATCTGGGTCTGGGCCAGGATCCTACCACAGCCTGGATGGGGATGGGTGTGAAATGCAGGGGGAGGGCAGTCAGTTTGCCCAAACACATAAGTCCTCCTCCCACCCTAGCACTCTCCACCAGCGCCTGCCACCAACCCACCATTCAAAGCACATATGTCACTCATTACTGACAGAGACTCAGTATGTTTTTGGTTTTGGCGAACTAGGGCACAGGCTATGGCAAGGGAAGGAAGCTGGGAAAGGCTTAAGTGTCAGAGGGGGGTGGAGGTGGACAAGAGGTGGACGGTGAATGGCTGCAGTTCTTCAGCCACTTGGCTACAAGCAGGAAGGACTGTGCAGGGCCTTCAGTGGCCTGTGGGAGGGGGAGACTTTCCTAAGCCCTGGTTGAAGACAAGAGCCCAACCCTAACCCTCCCCCCACCCTGCCCCTTCCTCAGTCTTTGGAACTGGAACATTCGAGCTTGGCCATGGTGGCTGCTGACTATTTCTCGGTGCCTGTCACAGCTGGCGGCCCTAGTCCTCACCGCCACAGAGAACCAACAACGCCTTCAGGAAGTCTCCAGAGGTATCACCCTGGCAAGGGGAGAGGGAGAGCAGAGTGAGTGAAAACAGCCTTCTGGGCTGGCGCGGTGGCTCATGCCTATAATCCTAGCACTCTGAGTGTCCAAGGCAGGAAGATCCCTTAGGATCAGGAATTTGAGACCAGCCTGAGCAAGAATGAGACCCTGTCTCTACTAAAAAATATAAATATAGGCTTGGCACCTGTTGCTCAGTGGTTAGGGTACCAGCCACATACACTGGGGCTGGCAGGTTTGAAACTGGCCTGGGCCTGCTAACCAACAATGACAATTACAACAAAAAAATAGCACCTATAGTCCTAGCCACTTGGGAGGCTGAGGTAAGAGAATCACTTAAGCCCAAAAGTTTGAGGTTGCTGTGAGCTGTGACGCCACAGCACTCTACTGAGGGCAATACAGTGAGACTCTGTCTCAAAAAAAACAAACAAACAAACATATACACACACACACACACACACACACACACATATATTTACCATTTTGAAACTGGCAAATCAGCCTTTAAAATGTGCTAACGATTTACATTCCCGCCAACTGTACATAAGAATGTCTGTGAAATGCTCAATTTTGTCAGTCTAGTACAGAGAGCATCAAACTTTAAGATCTTGGCCAATATCTAAGACCAAAAGAATGGGATCCCTATGTCAAAGAAGTCAGACATAAAAGGTCACATATTGCACAGTTCCATTTATATAAACTATCCAAAAAAGGCAAATCCACAGATACAGAAAGTAGCTTGGTGGCTGTCTATGGTTAATGTGGAACCAGGTGAGCATGTGTAAGAGATCTTAGCGGGATGCTAGAGATATTTAGAAACTGGGTGGTGCCGATGGAAGCACAGCTCAGGAAATTTACTAAAAATTACTGACTTACACCCTTAAAACAGATGACTTTTATGGTATATAAATTATACTTCAATAAAGTGAGTTTTTTAGAGTGCCATGACATCATAGCTCACAGCAACCTCCAACTCCTGGGCTTAGGTGATTCTCTTGCCTCAGCCTCGAGTAGCTGGGACCACAGGCACCCACCACAACGCCCCGCTATGTTTTTGGTGTAATTTGGCCGGGACCGGGTTTGAACCCACCGCCCTTGGTATGTGGGGCTGGAGCCCTGCCCACTGAGCCATAGATGCTGCCCCTTTCCCTTTTCCTTAAGAAAGAATTTCACTGTCACCCATGCTAGAGTATAGTGACATCATCGTAGCTCACTGCAACCTTATAACCTCAAATTCATGGGGTCAAGCGACCCTCTCGCCTCAGCCTCTCCAGAAGCTGGGACTATAAGAGTGTCTACCATTCCTAATTTTTCTATTTTTTTTTTTTTTTGTAGAGACAGGGTCTTTCTCTTGCTTACATAAGTCTTGAACTCCTGAGCTCAAGTGATCCTCCATCTTGGCCTTCCAAAGTGCTAGGATTATAGGCATTAGCCCCTGCACCCGTCCTAAAGTTCTTTATAAAAAGCAAAAAAAGAGGGGGGACTTTTGTTTTATTCAGAGCCTTTGTTTGATCCTTCTGGTATTTATTTTGGTATAAACCATGAGGCAGGTCTTTCATTTAGCAATATTCTGGCTGTTCTAAGAGGAAATCCAGTGGAAGAACGACTTCTAGTCTTATATTAGGGATCTGACACCCACTCCCTTCCCACTGACCTCCAACTCCTCCCCTTACCTCAATGGCTTGGTGGAGAGACATGTCATATTTCTCAACGAATTCCCGCCGGATATTGAGCAGGTCAGTCTCACTCCGGGAGATCATGATCCTGGTGAGGGTCTTCTCATCTGTGCCAGTACCCTGGTGGAGCCAGGTAAGAAAGAGACACAGGTAGGAGGAGAGACAGAGACAGGTCAGGTAAGAAATAGTGGGTGTGTTGGCTCAGTGCCCGTAGCACAGTGGTGACGGTGCTAGCCACATACACTGAAGTTGGCGGGTTCGAACCCAGCCTGGGCCAGCTAAAACAATGACAACTGCAACAAAAAATAGCTGGGC